TGTGGACCAGCTGAATTCTCAGCTGGTAACGAACAATGGATCTGGACCTGCGAACGTCGCCGCTGCACTTCAATACCAACATTGTGAATGACGTTAGAGAGACAGAAACGGAGAAAACAATGCTGGGTCTGCGCGACTAAAGACAGGCCATCTAAATATCTGAGTGAGTGAGTTTAGAAATTCATTGCATGTGTAACTGTTTAGTAGAGTTTAAATGGCAGAGAAATGAAAGGTATACTATTTGCAAATATTTGTGCCAGTGCACTAAATTACAACTAGGTTAATGAATAAAAAAACATCTAGGAGTTGCTAAAAATCCCTATTTTTTTATACTAATTGCACTTAAAATGAAAAATAATACAAAAAGCGTAAAGAGCTTACAAATATTTGATTTTAAATAATGTTTTTCTTTGTTTTGTTGCCGGCTGATCATGCAAAGCTTACTGCTTAAAGATAATCTTAAAAATATGCTGTGTAAGGCAGCAGCTCTGGTACTGGAACTCGAAACTTTAGGGGCGCAAGTCATCCCGCCAGTGACATAGTTCTTGCAAAAACAAGTTCTGCTAGTTCCTTATTGCGGGAGTGATTCTTTAGAAGATTGAGAAAAAAAACGGAAGATTTGAGGAGGTCAACAACAAGTGACCCTTATAGGTGGAGACCGTAAATGGTATAGTCCGCTCTTTCTTAAGAAGCACTTTGAAATTTGGGAGACGTACCTTAGTTCGCTCAAAAATTAGCTGAGCTATGCGACACAGTTTGTAAAACACGGATTTTTTCAGTTAAAATAACGCCCCTCGCAATAATGAAAATAAGCGGAAGTTTTTTAGTATGTCGTATGGAAAAGCTATCCCACTCAACTCAAATTTCGAGCACTGAAAAACTTCATAGAGGAATTCTGCTGTGAGCAGATGCTTTTCAAGACTTAGTAATTAAGCGCTATATTCAGATGAATAAACCATCCACGCAGTAGACAGAGAAATGATACAAGCACATAACACTGAC